GTTTGTTGTGACAGTTGTGAAGCCTGGTTCCACCAATCCTGCTTTGGGTATTCTGAGGAAGGAAGGTTCACTTGTTTCCTGAGTGACGAAGAACTGCCGTTCTTGAAAAAAGTGATCCGCGTTCAACGGAAGGTCCTTGGAAGGTAAGTGTACGAGAGTATTACGTTGATCTTTGCACGAGTAGAACATGGTGCACTACGTAAGCGCCTCGGATTTGAATGAACGTGTTGCTTTCAGCAGTGCACGGCAGCTGATGCTTGTCCGTGTGAGATGCATGCACTGCGACTTTACAGGCATTGCATTTCGGTCGTTGTTCAACTTTCCTGAGGCCATCGCCTTGGATGTTATGGAAGAGTTAACGGTTATAATACGTGTTACCTGAGCCACCCATTGGTTGCAAGGTATCCCTCTTCCGAGCAGATACGTTTTGCTTGAAGTACATTGGAAATGTTTCAGATGTGGCTCAGCGATATGAATGGCAGGCATTATGTAGTTAGAATACCCCCACAGGTACATTGGAAATGAAGGTAAGAATGCTTATCTCATGTCCTTATGTAATCATACGTTGGGTTACATGAGTTCGGTCCACTGCCTACAATACACGTCCGTGGTTAGCGGAATACGTAATCATACGGTATACCTCATGGTAAACTGTTCACAGTTTCGCTATGTGCGCCACCTAAAGAGGGGTGGTGAGTTTCTTTACATTTCAACCTTCCTAAGCAGGTGTTAGGTTTTGGTCACCGCCGCCAATAATTTTCGTGCCCCTGGGCGGGATTCCCTCTCAGTTGCACTACTTAAGGCTGTAGGTGCCGTCCTCCGCAGGGTAAAGACCTCCCTATTCCAGCGTATGTGTAAGGAAGAGCGGGAGGACAATTTGGAGGAAGGCGCTTCGCACAGACTGCGAAGCACAGGGGTGTAAGGGTAACGGCAGTTGCGCTTACCTTGTTGTCCCCGCCTACCGTTGGTCGCGTCACTGCCGAATGGCTACACCTCCTTATGAAAGAGCAGGTGCGCTTCCGGCCGGCATCATCATCATGATCAACAGCAATACGTAAGTAATTTGAACTGATGCTTCGCTGACATACAACTATGTGGACAAATGAAATAAAGAATACAACGAGGGAGAGATGGTAAACTGACCGGAAATCCTTAATGCCGTAAGCAAGCATTAATAGTCAAGGCGCCTGCCCCTTGTGCGGACAACATACGGTCACAAACAGCTGGCAATTGTGCAAAGATAAGTCGGTAGCAACGATACAGGTTCTTTCCGGCTTTCACTGTCCTGCGTCATAGTCAGCCATTACCCCGCCAGCCATGTCCTGTGGAGTCTACAACCAAGCACAAGGGGAGTCACGTTGACTCCAACCCGGAAAACGACACGGACCGACGTTGTCCAGTTTGGTCGTCAGTGACTTCATTTCCCGCTGTCATGTCAACTTCTGTCCACCTTGAGCCCTGCGCTATCCTACACCTGGCGGACTAAACAAGGCCCTCATATGTAATCAGTGACCAGGCATACCTAGCACGTGCCCGAGCCGACGCATCTTATTCAGTGCTAGCTATTGTTTTAGGGAGCTGGCATGATGATCATTATATAGTACTCGCCCACGCATATTATCGTTGCGGACACCCTGGCGCCATCGGACACCAGCAATGCTTCGCGGATAACGATAATCAAATACTTGAAGTTGTCTCATATCTTCAGACCGTAGGGGCCAAGTCTCACAAACATAAAGCAGAACGGCCCTCACTGTGGCCCTGCATACCCTACCTTTAAGACGGAAGAAAAATCCGTTCTATCGCCAACGATGCCGCAGATCCTATAAGGCGGCTCAGGCCTTTGTAACGCGTGAGCTGACGTCCATTTCTATGCGACCATCATTGCTGATGCAGCTGCCAAAATAAGTGAAATGTCTCTAGAACTAAAGACCATCTGGTGAGCAATTGCTTTAAATGATTCATCATCAAACCATTCCCCGTTGGCTCAGCGAAAGGCTTAGTCAGTGCTAACCAGGAACGGTTAGGGACGGTGATTCTATTCGGAGATAAGCCGTGTGAATTGCGTTGCTGCGTTATCCAGTTTCTTTAGGAACAGTCTAAACCTTGCAGCATTCAACGTAGTCTGAACACACGTGAAGCTACAGAACAAAGGATGCAGTTGTGCTGACGGACAAAGGCCCTTACTTGACATCCTGCCAGTCACGCACTTGATGGTCCTGGTCAAAACATGGTGAGGGTTGTATGGATAACATTACTTGAGGATACACCTGCGACGCTCACCTGGACACAGCTTTAACACAGAACAAAGATATTACCCGCACTTTGCAATCCTGACAATACAACGGAACCCAGATAACGAATCAACTCAAAAAAGTCACCTGAGTCCTCCGACTTCGACAGCTTCAAGCACTTGCGCTTGACTCCGAAGGAGACTACACAACCATAGGAAATAAATTGGCAAAATTTGACTTCGAATATCCGCCAGGAAAATTGGTCAGACGCAATATTGTCAATCTCATATCACCAGTTAGCAGGGTTCCAGGAAGCGGTATGGCTTCGTCAGGCAAGCGTTTTCCCTACAAAAAGCCACAAATGTCGGTTTAACAACACTGCAATGTGGCGGATATGACTAGTCACTCAATAAAGACACCGCCACGATCACGTATTTTCAAGTTTACCGATCCCAAATATGCAAATTCTGTGCATAAATCTGCACTTGTACGAACACGCTTACATATTTGCTCAGTTACATGCCACTATTCTCAATAATTTTTGCAGCTTTTTCCTCATGCTTCACTCACCTGACTCGCCCTGTTTACACAACCCCGTCCGACTAGTTGCTCATTAACATACTCCACATTTGTTATCTGCTTCTTATCTGTACATCATGCATTCTGTGGACATGGA